ATTGTCCCTTGACTCTGCTGTTCCCCTTAGCTCTACATTACAATAATTAAGCCAATTAAATTGCTCTTGGAATTTAAATGTTTAAAGGAGCAACAAGGAACCTTTTTGTTGATTCTGGCGGCACCTGTGGACAAAAACGGTATTGTTTTGCTTCTTTTCATTGATATCAAGAGGAATCAGGAATTACTAATAACAATATAAAAATAGCCAATCTTCTTGCTGGTGGTGTGTTTATATATAGGTCATATAGATGCATTAGTATTAAATTGAGGCAGTTTCATAACTTGGTTGAAAACTCCTTGTAGTATGTCTAAGTGATTTCTTATAAAAGCTTTTACATGGTTGTATATTTGTACTTTCTACACAAGTAGAAGCTCTACTCTGTGTGTGTTGTAGTGTGTAGTGAGTGAACATTAAAAAAGACCAATTTATTTTATTATTTCTTCACTTACAGAGAGATTGATTTGAGAGCACAGCTATGATTGCAGCACATTGATTTCCAGTCTAAAGTGAGCATTGGTTTTATCATTGGGCGGGGTCAGGTGTTTCAAAATATGCCAACTAGTCAGTGTTGCCTGCATAAAACAACACAGGGTCCGTCCATGCTGGGTCTGAGACCAAGGTCGCTCTGTCTCTGCCGCCTTGGGGCCAGGGACATTTTGTACGTCACCGTAGTCCTTCTCATCAGCACTGTGCTTGTTATATCATGCAGATACTATTTTTATAAGATAGAAACCAAGGCTTTTGCTCACTCTTGGATGACTCACAAGTAGTGGGCCCTTTACATTGCCTTGGGCTGCCATTGTGTTTGCATAACTCATTCTTTAAACGTGATCTCGGAGAATATGCAATGTTCTCGTGATCGAGGATTATGTTTATGAGTGTGTGCATTCGGTTTCTGTCTGTCATCTCCTCTTCTTTGTTGCTTATCAATACATGAGCTCTGTATAGTTTCAGTATCGTGTGTGTGTGTATGTGTGTGTGTGTGTGTGTCTTTTATGTGTGTGTACCTGTGTGTGGTAGAGAGAGTGTCCTGCTGCGTGACTCCTGACAGAGCCCCCCATCCTTCAGATGAATCCCTCCCCCGGCGTGTCCTGACCTTTGGCTGTGTTGGAGGAGCTGCTCATTGCTCACTCAAATCTGAGGCTGACTGGTTATGAGAAATAATAGGTGACAGTCACACGGTCTTATCTCTGGATTTCATTTACAGGAGTTACATAAGTTTTTAGCTACCGTTCCCACCGTGGGAGGCAGCAGTGACAGTTCTTGGAAAGTTTAGTTTGCTGGAATTGAACTTTGACACTGAAAGATTCACAAATGCTGGATAAACAGCCCCATCTGTGTGATTTCTCTTTACAAAGTGAGATGCAGAAGCTTACAATATTTATACTAATGGCCCAAAATGAATGAAAACTGATAATGTTGAAATGCTGTATAGCTTAAATGTCACAGCTCTTTCAAAAGTGCAGCGATTTGTAACTCTTGTGTAGGGTTTTCCTCTACTAGGAGCGATATGTGTAGCATCATTCTTTCCAGCTACCATGCATATAATCAGTCTGACAGGCATGAACGACCTGATATGGTAATAACCTAATTATTGACCAGTGAGAGGGTTCCAGTGGTTGTCTGGCTGCCAGTGATAAAACCAGTAAGAAAAGGTTGGCAGGGAGGAAGATGGGCAGTAAAAGAGACTGCAGTCTGACTCAGTCTCTGCCTGGAGGGTCCATGGTCATCACCCAGTGTGACCATGTGACAGTTAGACAAGCAGCCCATCATGTGACGATGGGGAAACTCTAAACTGTTTTCATTGTGTTGTATTACGCAAGATCAACACCGCTGGAAGACCTGCTGTCATCCTCATTGTCATCACTGTGAGTTCTTGCAGTAGAAGCATTAGTAATTCTGCAGATGAGATTGTAGAGGTGAGACAAAGCCTTTGAGAATGTTTGTGTTTGTCTTCTTGTGTCTTTGTTTTGCATAAACATGGATTCCAGTTTCATTTTGGGTGGATCCTTTAACTGGTTTGACAGCTTTTCCAGACAAACTTAAACCCGACTGTCAACAGAAAACATATTTTTAAGTTAAGTTAAGTTGTCCTTTATTGATCCCTTTAGGGAAATCCATTCCCTGCATTTAACCCATCCTAAGCACTAGTAGGGGCAGCCACAGGGGACCAACTCCACATCTGAGCCAGTGCCTTGGTCAAGGGCACTGACTGGGGAATTAACTTTAACATACAGGGTTTTTGATGGTAGGGGAAAGTGGAGCACCTGGAAGAAAACCCACGCAAACACGGGGAAACATGCAAACTCCACATAGAAAGGCCCTGCCCCAGCCCCAGCCAAGAATGGATCCCAGGACCTTCTTGCTGTGGGGCGACAGTGCTAACCACTGAGCCACAGTTTTATCTCAAACTGTACTGGATGTGTCTTATGAAACCGTAAGCATAAACCCTGGATACTAGATCTTGAATGTATGGGGAAAAAAAGCATAGATATGTGTATATTTCACTCATCATCCAATCCTTTTTTATGTGGATGGGTACAGTTGGATACTGCAACTCAGTCCTTTTTTGGTACCAACTGAAATGTGTCACCCAGTATCTACTAATGAACTGTCAAATACTGAAAGCTGGCATTGGATGCTTTATCAGATCCTTAAGATAGAGTAAAGTTAAGATAGATATATAGGTTTTTTATTGTCCTTAGCAGAAGAAAATGTTGCCACTGTCTGTATAAATGTGCCTCAAGAAACAAGCACATTTATACACACATTGCATTCACATAGTATTTAAACATGACGGTGTTTTGTTAAGCAATGCTATGGCTGAAAGGAAAAAACTCCTGCCATAGCGTGCCTGTTAAGATATTCTTTGTTTCGAGAGTTCCTGATTTAAATTTTACATAATCAGTTTACTAGTCTTTTGGGGCTGTTGAATTGTACGGGGAGGTTTTTCTAATATTTGTTCTACCCTCATTGATATTAATCACATCATTTTAAAAGTGGTTATGAGTTTATGGCCTAGCATTTGGTGTTGAAGTTGCACTAAAATTGCTACTGACCCTGATCTAATTCAATACGTTTAAGTGACGTTTATGAACCGTGGAATATAAAATAAAATGACATAATACTTCAGCTTGCATTGCTGGGTAATCATCTGTGATCCTCTGGCCCCTTCCAGCTGCACGTACAATGAACAGGAGAACAGATTAACTACGACAAGTGTGCAAGACCTCACACCACAATAAATCGATTGGTGGTGGGGTGGGGGGGACAAATATAGGTTGTCTTATTACTGGGTGCTTGAACATGCTGGCATGAGTTCACAACGGAAGGAAAAGAAGAGGGAGGTAGAGAGGATGTGTGGCGATTAATATGCCCATCTGCTCTCTGCTGACTCATATTCCTCAGTGTAACACTGTCGATACCTTCGCCTATTCTGTTGCTCTCTGATGACAGCTGTTCTTTCTGCATGTGTGGTTTTCCTCTTCTCTATGTCAGATTTATTTAATCAGACATTAATCTTCACTTGTGTCCAACTTTTTGTGCAGAGCTCCGTAAACCTACTTCTGCAGGAGATCTTCCATGTGCACAGAAAAAAAACAATGCCCTCTTTTTTTATTGCCTCACAGCAGCAGAGCGACCTGCCCCCATTTCTGAGGTGGTACGGAGTGTGTTCAAATATTTAGTTGAGTGCACCAGGCATATTATGTTGTAATGGATATATAATCTGTTTGTCTGCACCAAGGACAAAAGATCAACAACCAAAAAACATCTAACTTTACTTTAGTAACATAATATTCAGTGACAGACACTAACCCTAATTTGTCCCACTTACCTCCATCACCCTCATTCTCACACACACACACACACCCACACATACACATACACACACACACACACACACACACACACACACACACACACACACACACACACACACACACACAGCAGTGATGACGCTGTGGCAATGCTGCTGATGCGATTTGGCATTACTGGGGCATGATTCCTGCTGAATGCCCTAAAATTTTGCCTCCCCTGTGCCCCCATCCCCACCTTCTCGACAGCCCACTCAGCAATCACTCCAGCGACCCCCGCCCTCCCCCCCCCCATCTCCCAGATCTGTTGTCGAGTCTCACCCTCATGCAGTCACGCTAAGCATGTTTGGGTTGTGTGGACTTGTCGAAGAGTGTGAAGTCTAGATAGATGCTTTTTATATCAAACTATTCTTACAGTCTGCAAGCAGAGAATTTGGAGCTGTTAATAGGTGGCCCTCCATAGGGCTGGGTGAAAATATTACATTCTGGGTACAATATGATGGTATAATTTAATATTGTTACCAAAACTACACCTTTTTTTAGAACTATTAGCTTGAGAACTATAAAGATCTAGAAAGACCATTCATTCATATACAAAACAAGGCAGCACACAAGTCAAATGCATCAATGTTTTAACATTTTCTAAACACAAGCAGCCATACAAGAATCTTGCCTCAAGTGAGTGATTACTTACTAATCAGATTAAAAGAACTCCCATGAAGGAGACACCAAAATATCATGACTTCTAGCTCCTAGTATGGGTCAAGCTCCAACAACGTCCTACATCCAAAGCACATCTTGTCCACATACTTTTGGTCATATAGTCTATCATAATGTTGTCAATTAACCTGGAAAATTAAATTGAAAAACAATTTACAGATAAAATAACCAGATGAGAACGATTGTTTTTGGTTAATCAAGTGAATTAAATACCTGATCAATTTCAGCATTGCTCACAATCACAATACATAAACAGAGATATTACAGAGCTACATGTTTAACGAACAGTTGTGAACATGGCTTTTTATATTGAAACAGGAAAGGCCCTTCCTCAAACTGCTGACACTTGGAGCTTAGCCTAAGCCATAAAACATAACCCCAGACCAAAAGTACAGGAGTTTTGGCCATTACAAGAAAATAAACCATTCATGTAATACAATAATGTGTGTTGTGTATTTGCAGGTCTGTTGGGCAGCACCCGTTTCACCGGCTCTTCCCAGAACTACAGCACCCTGCTGCTGGAAGAGGAGGTCGGGCTGCTGTACGTGGGAGGCAGAGGAGCTCTCTACGCACTCAACACCTCTGACATATCCACACTTGGAAACCTCACAGTGAGTGTCAAGATGCTGCAAGCCAGAGAGCGCCACGTAATTGCCGCTGTTAGCAAAGAAACAGCGAATTTTCCCCCCTTTTTTTCCATTTCCAAAGTGTTAAAGGAGGACAAACTAATAATAGCCTTAAGCAGATTGAACAAATCCCTTTGTGTTCCTCCAATTTTATGGATATCGGATTAAATGCACCAGGCGTTTATTCAAGGGTTACTGAAGAGAGTCAGAACTCAGCGGCGCAGCCAGAAATTGAAGTGTGCTGTCCTTCTCTTTTCTCACTTCCTGTTTATCGTACAAAAACTTGTTTTCTTCTCTTTATCTCTCTCCCTTTTCTGTCTCTCTCTGTTTATCTATTTTCTATCCCTATTTATTGATCTAACTGAGTCATCCTTATTTCCCCCCCCCCATTGTTTTCAGATTGATTGGGATGCTTCCCCTGAACAGAAGAAGCAGTGTCTAAACAAAGGCAGAGACAATCAGGTACACGGCAGCAGCTCTACTATCTTTTTATTATTCAGCCACGGCTTTCTTCGTGAAAAACTTGTAAAGGTGTTTATTTGTTGAGTTATTATTAGAGAACATAAATGAAACACTTCCACTTTGTGATGTGCAGATTGCTTCTGACAGCAATAAAGTGGATAATCCTTTCAATTGCCTCTTAATCCACTTTTGCTGAAACGCTGAGAAACTAATGATTTAAAAAAAAGTCACACTGATTCATTCATTATTTGCATAAACATCCCCATAGATGGCATGCAACGGCTAGCCTATGTGTTTCTCTCTAGCTTTGCTTATTGTGGAGCCAGAAATAACCTGTTTTTCTCCGTTCTCTGCAGACAGAGTGTTACAATCACGTCCGCTTTCTGCAGCGATACAATGAGACTCACCTGTACGTCTGTGGAACAAATGCCTTCAGACCTCTTTGTGCTTATATAGTAAGAGCCTGTGTGATTTAATTGCAGTCCAATTATGACTAGACTAGATTCTAAATGAAATCATTAATTGAGTTTCTCTTTTCTCTCTGTAAGGATGCAGAGCGGTTCAGCTTCTCCTCAGGCTTTGAGGAGGGTAGAGACAGGTGTCCATATGACCCAGCAAAAGGATACACTGGCCTCCTCGTAGGTATGTGTCCCAAATTTGCTTTTAATATATTCCACATACAGTATGTTGGTACAGTCAAAGTCTGCAGGATTTCAGCTAAATGCTCAAAGTGTCTGTGAAGATTCTCAGTCATCCAGGTCATGGTTTGTCCAGAGGGGCAACTGGACTTCAACATCTTAGTTAAGTGTGTTAGCTTGCTATCATTTGTTAATTAGCACTAAAGACAAAAGTACAGCTGAGGCTGACGGCATATTAGGTCATAAAACACCAAAGTACTGGACAAACAAACATTTTGACCTGATGATGGCGCTAGTGGAAATGTCAGAGGATCACCAAACTTTACAGTTGAATGAATGTCTGAACCAGATTTCATCGCAGTCCATCCAAATAGTTGTTAAGCTCAGCAGTATGAGTTAGAAAAATCAAGTGTAAATCTTTCAAAGTTAACATCTTTTTAGTACGAAAATCCCTCCTATCCCTCGGACTAGTTTTGCAGAAATTAAAATCTTTTTTAAAAAACCTTTCATTTATTTTAGCACTAAATGTTGTTGTTCCCTTCCTAATATGATAATATATCTGTTTTATTTCTTATTTTACCCATTTATTTAATCTATCACGGTGTATTTTCTTCGAATTCATTCTCTGCTTTTAGTTGCCTGATTTTATTTAATTGTAGAATTCATCGAAGCACTTTGTAACTTTATTTTGAAAGGTGTTGTATAAATAAAGATAAACACCAACAGTAAATATGAATGTATTTTTGCAAGAAAGACTTTGTCTTCACTCCACAAATCTTTTATAATGTACCAACTCTTTCAGCGTCCATTTGTGAGTGTTGTATTGAGACTTTAAATCTGAATTAATTCATTATAATGCAATAGAATTGAAATAAAGACCCAGGAGAGACATTAAAAGCATACTTAAGCGTACTGTGATCTATAGGTTTAATTACCATTTACAAATATTATAATCACACTGGGTGATAGGTCATAGTTTGCCTGCCTAGTCTGCAGTACACCAACTGCTTTCATTTACATCTGATTGAACTCTGATGTCCAAATTCCTCTCTGTCTCCATCTATCATCCACTGACACACTCGTACGATCTGCCAATCAGACGGTGAGATGTTCACGGCCTCTCAGTATGAGTTTCGCAGCTCTCCAGATGTGCGCAGAAACTTCCCCTTCCCCACCCTCAGGACAGAGGAGGCCCCCACCCGCTGGCTTCTGGGTAAATACAACGCATGACAACACATGTCTAAGAAGAGGGGGTATCGAGTAACGGATAAATGTGTGCAAAAAGACTAGTCTCGTTTCACTTACAGTGAACTACTAAACAGACAAAACCTCATTGTCATTTTGAGTATTTCTATCTCATCAGATGTTGTGTTACTACAAAAAATGATTGACCTGGACAATGAAAATCACATCCAAAAATTCCACTGCACTGCAGCTCTAACTGGCTTAGCTGTGGCAATTCAATCATACTTAAAAGCTCCATCTTTAGTTTCCAAGGAGACACTTCCTTGCCTGCTAATAGGTCTGTGTTTGGACCTGTTTGTGTGTGTGTCTGTGTGTCATGTTTGTGTGTGTACAGAGGCAGATTTTGTGGGCTCTGTGCTGCTGAAGGAGAGCATCAACAGCTCTATCGGTGATGACGACAAGATTTACTTCTTCTTCACGGAGAGAAGCCAGGAGCAGATTGCCTACCCGAGCCAGACCAAGGTGTCCAGGGTTGCCCGAGTCTGCAAGGTCAGAGATTGAGCAACAAGCCCAAATACTATTAACCACAATCATATTAATGGTTTCACTGGGTTTAGAAAGTTTACAGATTTATAGTGGCTGTGAGGTCTGGGGAAATAATGGGTTGAAATGAGGGAGGAGAGAAGTTGCCAGGGTTTGAAGTGCAAAAACTGTGGGATTATTATATTATGCTTATGTCACCGATACAGAATGAAGTGTAAATGGATTTCTGTTCTCATTTTTTTTCACTCAGCTGCTGTTCTCTTACAGTAATTTCAGTGCTGAATGAATCTTGGTTTCTTCTCTGACGGCAGTTCTGTCTGTGCCACTGTTGCCAGGCAAACTACAAGTCCACCAACCTCCACCTCCAATGGCAAACCTTCTCCCTCCCTTTATTGCCATCTCGCCCTCTTCCACTCCTCCTCTTTTTCCCTCTCACCTCATTTCACTTGCGATCAGCGTCCCCGGTCTAGACAGCATGCCCAGCAACCATTCCTAGAGGTCTCTCCTCCTCTTTGTCTTCCTCCATGTCATTTCTTGTAGCCGTGCGTGATGGTGTAATTACCATCGCAGTATGGTGTCGTGCTGAAGTGCTGTTTCTATGGGATCAAAAAGTGTCTAAAAGACTGAATGATGTTCAGAAACACCCTGCAGTTGCATGTCATGTTTTGTGAGAATGTGAAAAGGATTTGCATCAATGTGTGACAGAAAAAAGAAATGAATGAGATAGCTACATATTGAATAGCCATTTAGGATCCGACTGTTAACATTCAATCACAGTGAGTCAAATTGTCCAAACCAATCAATGCAAACTCTGGGCGTGAAATGTCGCCGCAAATTAAACTGAACAAAGAGAAAGCAAAATGTTTTTCGAAAGATGTATTACTTGACTTCTTGTTGAGGTCTTCCTAGTGCTGGTCTTCACCACAGCCCCTTTAGAGACTTGGAATACATAACATTTCTGGCTTCTTCTTTCAGCTTTATGGAAAAAGCCACAATGCTTTTGTGATATTTGGCACGTGGTGCGCGAGAGGAAGTGGTGTCACTGCTGGAAAACAGTGCTGACTTGAAAAGTCAAGGAAGAAGACTGTTTTCTGTTCTCTCATAGGCTGCACAACAATGCACAAGTATTGAATGTCCCCCTTTCCTATTTGCTGACATGCAAGCATTTTATTGGATATTCATTTGTTTGTCCACACGGGTTGACATGAAAGTAGAAATATAGACCACTAGATTGATGAACAAGGGTTTTTATTATTCGTACTTCTTTTGCCACGGTCGCACCATGAGGGGAATCTTCATTTATGTGCTCATTCTTTGTGTTTTCTTGTTAATTTTTACAATGCTCAAAATATGGAAAATAAGACATTCGTTTAATTTCTCTCTGACAGCATTCACTGACTTGTGCCTTGATGAAAATGGTACAGAAATGTAAGATCGCCGTTGTGACTTTTACATAAAAGTGACTCGGGCACCTGATGAGACAACAAGATAAATTGCAATCACATTTATATAACGCGGTGTGTCTGAAAGAGGCTTATTTTTATTTCTCGCAGCTGTGAATTTTCCATTTTTGTTTAGATTTATGGTCTGTGTATTGAAATAGAGAAGTATACTTAATTTAGTCACTTTTTCAGTAGTGTTTAGACGCAGCTAATGTTTGTTCCTGTAACTTTAATGTCACACACAGGCTTAAACACTGATTTTCACATACAGTTTCCCGTTTTTAACATCGGCAAAAGTACATTAAGCTATTTGCATACTACAGATTTGCATACTGCAGTGAAATAATTCCTGAACATTTTATACTTCTTGGACTTTTTTAATCCCGTGTACTCGAACAGCTCATCTCCTCACGATTCTCTCTGCATCCAAAATAAGTAATTTCTGGAAATAAGGTCTGGACTGCTCTCTCTTCATCAGCGCTGTGGACTTGTCAGAGCAGTCGAGAGTGTAATAACTCTCTCTGAACTAGGCCACAGCAGCACATGCAGATGTCGAGCTGGTCCCCAGCTCAGCCCCATGGCAGCCAGACGCCACACTGGTTGTAGGCAGATCTGCAGATAGAGCGAAGGCCTTGGCAGTAGCCTCTGGCTTGAAACCACTGAAGACTTGCCATTTTTGAGCTGCCTAACTAGTTGTCCTGTTCTGTTTGTCACTTCCCAGCCAGACCGTATCTACCTCCTTTGCAATCATGACCTATTTTCACTGAGAAGCGTGTAAATTACATAGAAACAAAGTCTTTTCAGGAAGATAAAGAGCATAAATCAGCACCATTCTGACAATTTTGTAATATATCCAGCAAAGAAAGAAAGGCTATAGAATTTGTCCCTTTCTCTGCTGTATCTTTAGACTTTATGTCTGGCTTAAACAGCAACACACTTATATCCTGTCATCTTGGGTTCATTTCCCCACAGGCATATCTTTATGGTGCCACGCTTGGATTCATGACTCTTATTTTCTTAGATTTACGTCATGACAGCCCGATGACCCGCACAGTGCTTTTGATTGACATAGATTGTAATCTATCAGTGGATCCTTTTAGGTCTTTTCCATTTTAATAACCGGGAATCCATCTCTATAAAGAAATGCTTATGTTATTTTCTCAGTGGCATCCATCTTAACTCTCTGCCAACGACAACTCTCTAGAGCTTTTATTCTGTGGAAACAGTGGAGTCTGCGGTCTTTGTCTTCCTGTTATACCAAAAAATGTAGTTGTTGTTATTGATGGAAGTGTTCCTAATGCAGGCACTTTTGTTTTCGATACTTATGTGTTATGTCGATTTAAGCTACTTTGTCTTTTTGTGTGGGAGGCCGAGGCGGTGGGAGCATTTTGATAAACGACAGATGTCTGCGAAAAAACACATAAACGAAGAACGATGAAGCGCTTTAATTCCGACAAACAAAGAGAAAAAGAAGTCTTCATCTCTTTTTATTCTTTTTTTCCCCTCTCTCTTCTAAATGAGGTGTGCTAAATTACTCTTTTAGGGAGAGATTTCTTGCAGCCTCGCCTCCCAGTGCTACCGAAATGCAATTAGAGCAAATGTGCTAAAGTAGGCACTCAGAGGTAGAACACTAACATTCAGCTCCACTCACATAAGACTCCTCACTTCCTCCTCTACACTTTATATGTACAGTTATGTTTACATTATGATTTGATTTATTCTTAGTAGATTCATGTACATTGGATATATCTCCGTGTCACTGTTGTTACACTCACAGATGAGTGACCATTGATGTCTATATGAATATGAGAATGGTAGAGTGCCAGAATATATCAGATCAAGTGCCTTTAGTTAAGTATCCATCCATCTATTCATCCATCCATCCATCCATCCATTCATTCATCCATACATCCGCTTTCTCCTCTGTTTGCAGAATGACTGGGGTGGCCAGAGGACCCTGCAGAGGAAGTGGACCACCTTTCTCAAGGCCAGAATGGTGTGTTCAGTCCCAGAATATGAGCTGCACCTCAATATCCTGCGCAGTGTGTTTGTCCTGCAGGGTCGAGACGCTCAAAGCAGCATTTTCTACGGTGTCTTCGGCCTGGAATGGTAAGAGACAACATCAAATTCAGATTTTATTATGCCGTTTTTACCCTTTAAGTGGCTTTATTCCATACTGTCTGACAGTATCAATTATATGGTCTCTATCGTCTGTACTGTGCAGCATTTTATACACATTTCCCTCAAACTACAGCCTGGTAAATTTGGTATGTTTGCAAACTTTGGGATCTCCCTTTGAATTTGAAATACATTTCTGTGGGTCTGAATACCTCACTGGCAATTCAGGGAGGTAATCCCATTGAGATTTAGGTCTTTTTCTCATGAGAGAGCAGCAGCAGGAACATATACAGACAGTAGATGTATTTGAATACATTTCAGTCATGTATTACAATCAGTGCACACACACCATTTAAAAATAGTCACAAACATGTTGATGCAGTACATCATTTAAAGTTTGAACAATCATTCAATGGGATAAGATGTTAGAATACATCCATAGTCAAACACAGACATGATGGCTGTTCATGAAGTGGTTTTACTTTTTTTCAAAAGAGCAATTTATGTTTCATCTATGTATTGTAAAAGGAATATTTTTGATCAACCATTCTCAGATGACACTTTCCCCCCATTTTTTCTGACATTTCATAGACGAAACAAGTAATCGTAAAAAATAAAATAATGAACGCATTAATTGATAAGGAGAAAAATCATAAGTTCGAACCCTTGGTGAGTTGCTATCAAAACAGAACCAGCCAAGCTGCAGTCAGAGCTGACAGTGTCAGAGGACGATGGTTGCCAGTGGAATCCACTGGCAGCGATGTGACTGTGTGTTTATGCTGATATGCAGAGTCATGCTGCATAAAACTGTCCCAAGGGTGTTTAGATTCTGATGGAGAGGATATCATTGCAACGGGACAGTAACACAATCTACTCTTGCTTTTTCCTTTTTTTTTTGTACTCCTACAGTGCACTTCCGTTTGTGGATATTCAATCTCTGTCTGCTCATTCACTGCAGCAGCTGTCCTCTCTCTGTGTGTTTCTTTTCTTTCTGTCTAGTCTTGTCTTTTTACGTGCTGGTTTTCTTTAAAAGAAAGAAAAAAAAAAAGCTACACCTGTGTGAGTAGTAGTCGTCACCATGCGTTAGGCTCAAGCGTGCAAGAATGAGTAAGCCCCAGAGCTATGCTGCTCACCAGTTGTGAAGAAAGATTCTGGTTTCACATCAATCTCATTTTTCTCACTTGAATGCTTTTGAAGACTGAGGTGGGCACACAATGGACTTAAGAATGTGACGCAGACATATTCCCCCCATTACTAATCTCACCTTTAGGGCTTAAGATTAAGGGTTACCTGGTTCCCAGCTCATGCTGTCGTTATGTTCTTGGACAAATCTTTTCTTTCACAGGAACTCTACCAAAACCACAAATGGGGCTGCTTTATTTATGACTCACAGGGAGTGGGTATTTCAGCACTCTGAGTGCGGTGTTAAATAAATCTGCAAAACAAATATTTCCTTCAGGAGTGGATAATAAAGAGTTGAGATAAAGATTGAAAATCACACACCTGTCAGTGACACCACTCCCACAGGTCCGTTCAAGACAAACTGATAAGAGCCAAGAGGGAAATTTCAGCATAAGAAACTAAACTTTACCACCGTAACGCCCCCAGTTTTCAGACAATAAAGGAGAGCTCTCAGCAGCCTTGTTACCTTTTTGTCTGTCGTTTGCCGCTCAATATCTGTGATGTGTTTGAAATGTGATCTGGGTGGCAGTTGCTCCCCAGATAATAACCTCTCAGTGTTTATCCAACATTGAATCATTAATCCTGAGTGTGTCCTCTGGATGTGTCTTGGGTTGTGGGGGGTGGCGGATTGTCTTTCAGGAAGAATATCAAAGCATCTGCTATCTGCCAGTACGCCTTCTCAGACGTGCAGAAGGCGTTCGAGGGGCCGTACATGGAGGTGCAGGACTCAAAGTGGAGGGAGTACACCGGGAAAGTTCCAGAGCCAAGACCTGGATCTGTAAGTTTATTGAATCCACTCTTTCTACCATCATTTGAGTATTTAATGTCCTGCTCTTTCCTCGGTGATCATTTCCCTGTCTTTCTGTCTCTCATCTCTCCAGTGTATAACAGATCTGCACAGGTCCCAGGGCATCAACTCATCTCGAGACCTTCCAGACAATGTCCTCACTTTCGCCAGAAGGCACCCGCTGATGGCCAGCCAGGTGCACCCAATTGGGGTGCGCCCACTCATGTTCAAGAGGAGTGTCAACTATGTGAAGATAGCCGTGCACAAGGAGCCAGCACTGGATGGGAACATTTACACTATTCTGTTTTTGGGAACTGGTGAGTTTTACTTACTGAACAGTCAACAAATCCCATTAAAAGGCCGAAACCTACTAACAAGCTTTGCCAGTGCTGTAAAAGCCTGATATATCTTATTTATTCCTCTGAGCCGTGGATATGTCATTACATCACAATGTCATTAGTTTTGCAGGTATTTAGTTGAAATTAATACTTAAAGGACCTGTGTGTAGGATTTAGTGGCATCTAGTGGTGAAGTTGCAGATTGAAGCACCCTATCTAGAGCCAGTATTTGGTTTGTCTGGTCTGGGCTACTGTAGAAACATGGCTGCTCAACATGGCGGCCCGATAAAAACAGCTCATTCTAACGTGACAAAAACACAACAATTCTTATTTTCAGGTGATTATACACTAATGAAAACATACATATGGGTATTATATTCCATTTCTGCCAATAGTTCCTCCCAAATGTTACACAATGTATATATATACACTTATCATGTCCCTGTGTGGTTACTGTGATGTTAGGTTCCAGACTACGTTGAAATGGCAATATAGTATTGAATGTGGAGCAAATTAAAATTTGTATCTGATCATGGCACTTGATGAAAAGTTCAAGGATCACTTAAGTTATTATAAACCATCCTTAGGGTGACATGAATGTCAATGTACAAAATTTCATACATAACCAAAAAAAAAAAAGAAAAAAAATATATTTGTGCCTTGTTTTTAAAGATTTACATCTTCAGTAAGAATGAATCAGCTTGGAGCTGAGAGCCACAGGCAGGGTAGAGAAATCGCGGGAGAGACGGATCAACTCATTATTGGTTTTAGTCTATTCATTGGATTTGTTGACAATAACAAAAATATGGAAAAACACCATCCTTTACAGAAAATACATTGGATTTCATGCTCTGTATTGCCTCTCAAGGTTATACAAATCTTGTTTAACTAGGTGGTATCTTTTCTTACAGATGATGGGTGGCTGCACAGGGCTGTAGACATTGATGGAGAAATGCATATCATAGAAGAGTTGCAGTTGTTTGATAAACCTCAGCCCATAGAGAGCATGGTCATATCCTCTGCCCTGGTATGTATCCATGTATGTAGAGTTACACAGAAAGAGTTACAAACTGCATATTTATGGGATGCAAATGAAAACATGCTGCCAATTTAAATTATTACATAGAATTAGAGTTTAAACTTGCTGTTGACAGGATTTAGTTTATTTAGCAAGTCAATAAATTACAACATTTTTAAGAATATTTTGTAATTTTACAAACAGCATATAAGTGTTGGGTGTGAAGCTAATCTAATAATTGATGATTAATTTGATGATTAATATGCTTCTTATATCGCAATACATTATAATACTTACTTATACTACTAGGAAGGGAGTAGTAATGTGCAAATATATTAGAAATGGATGAATTGTTTATCTTTTGTTTTACAGCGGAGTGTCTATGTTGGCTCCCGCTCCGGAGTCGTGCAGGTACCGATGTCGGCCTGTCAGAGGTACACTTCCTGCTATGACTGCGTATTTGCCCGAGATCCGTTCTGCGGCTGGGACGGGAGGGTTTGCGTGCAGATATCTTCACGTGCGCAGAGGTGAGGGAACACACACCTGTACGCTAACAAATGCATATATACATCAGTATATATATATATCAGTGTTTTATAGAAAGCAGACACAGACCACACTCATGTAGTGCTTGCAGAATAATGTGGTGATGTGATTTGGCAGAAAACAAACCGGATTCTGGCTCAGACGGATAAATTTGCTTTGCTTCATCTTTGATCCTGAGTCTATATTTCCCTAAACCTCCTCTCTGCAGTTCCACCTGTTTATTCTGCTCGTTTGTGTCTTTCATTTCCTCCTGAAACACCCTCTCCTTCTTCTCTATCTGCTTCTGCATGTGGCTCTGTAAATTTAAATAATAAGCATTTATCAGGTTAAATATATATATATATATATATATATATATATATATATATATATATATATATATATTCACATTGTAATTCATTTAGATATTAGACAATATTAAATACTTGTCAAGCCTTCCGCATTCTGAATATAACAGATAACATGGTTAACCGTTCTCACATTATTATTGAAATGAGTATTAAACCTACACACAGAGATTAATCATTGTGACACTGTATATTTTTGCATTACATGACCTTTTTTGGTTGATGTTTATTACTTTCCTCAGAGCCCAACAGCAATACCGGAGTCTAATAAATTATTTATGCAGCTTACTTTCTCTTCCAACAGAATTTCTATGAAAGCAGGTCTAAGACAATGTAGTCGACCTGGATTTTTCTCTTCTGCTCAGCAGGAGCGTCTCCAGAATTATTAGCCAAAACAATTGGATTTGAAAACACAGTTTCTCACACTTTGAATCAGCAGTTAGGCTCTAACTCAGCATCTAAAACAGAAAAGCAAAAGAGGTTGACTGACATTAATAACATGTTTACAGATACTGACAAATAATTTTAGTAACACGTCACTTGAGGTCCCCCTATTTAGCATTCATAAGCAGGATAGAAGTATTTAACATTTAATACACAAACTACATAATGTAGTTGTAAGCAGCTATAAGGACACTTAAACAGTGTTTATGAATGTACGTATTTGACAGTTCATTATATTTTATATTATTACAACTGTGTTTTACCATGTTGTCATTCATTATGTGTTTATGCCACAGGAGGACTTATAGCTGTTGACAAATACATAAGTTAACACTTACATCTGCTTAGAACTACATTATAGTGCATTATAATGCTATATATAATGTTAAATAGGGACTAAAAGTAAAGTGTTAATACTCTTATTTCCTGGAAACATCTATGTAACTTTGTACTAATTAGAGGGAATATAGAGTTGGTACACTTTTAATTGATACATTCAATTTAATTGCTGATGTAACCTTGAGAGCAGGTCAGCTGAACATGTGTGAAAAAAAACATACAATTCTAGTTTTCCAACTATAATTTATGAATATTTCTTTCTATCTTTCTTTCTTTCTAACTATGACCAGATAACATAGGTCTTTCCAGGAGACTGTTTGAGTTCCAGAGATTATTAGAAATTATTCTAATTATTAGGAAATTAAGAAATAAATAAAGTTTTCAATGTTTTTTTTTCTTTACATAGCATAAAAATACTCTATTACAAGTGAAAGCCTTGCATTGATAACGCTACGTAAGTAAAAGTAAGTATAGTATCTGCAGAGTGTATTTAAAGTATCAAAAGTAAAGTTACTAAACACAGAAAAATGCCAACTTGAGTGTTATATATTATATGAATAGATTAACATTGCTGATGCATTAATATGTAAGTAGCATTTTACTGTTGGAGCTAATTTAGACTATTTTAAATTAGTATTTGTATGTATAACATACATTATATTTTATCTTTTATCAGAAGTGTATCTTATGTTTTCTGTGTAAAACCTTAATAAATAAATAAATATAAATAAATAAATGCAGTGAAGTAAAAAATACAACACATTTCCCTCAGAACTGCAGTAGAACTATAAAGTGACATGAAATGATATTTGATGAATCCTGTAAAAATAAGTGGAAAAACCTTCTTAATCTGGCATCTTGTATCGAGCCTAGTCCGGTCAGATTGTGAAATGTTTCAGTTGTGGTCTGGATGGGTTTGAAGCAGTGTATGTAATTAGCCCCTTCCAAACAAAACACACACACTCAGACATACACAGACATTTACTTTGGCTCGCTCTTGCACCGGAGACTGTTTGTGCCTGTTCTTCTCTCACTCTGCATGAGCGAGTAGCAGACATCTTAATCTCCATTATGAGCGAGTAGCAGACATCTTAATCTCCATTATGGCAGCAGACACATCAGCCTCTCCTGTGGATTTGTTTGAAGGCGGCATCATGTTCGGAGGACGCAGAATTGAATGTTAATGGGAGATCTTACACTTGTCTGATTAATGCTGCACAATGTCCGCTTCATTTTCTAGAACAGTTAGATTATTTAAGGAGAGTGACAAGTCTGCTCGCTTGTGTTTTAATTCACAAAGGTTTATGGAGTCAAGACATGGGGAAAGAGGGGGAAGCTGTGGCAGGTTTCTTCTTTCCTGCTACTAGTATTCTGCACTGAACTGGGTGAAAAGTATTTATGTATGCTGCTCCCTTTGCCTGGGACCTTCTGCAGTTTGATCTAAATTTGCCAAATTTGTGAATTCAAATCATTGCTGCAGAGACTGTGTGCTCTCTCTTCTGGCTGCAGGTGCAGTATTGTAGCATTGTGATGTGCTGGCATTATGTTATTGTTTTGGATTTTGTCTTTGTTATTTTTATGACAGCTCTGGTAGGTTGTTTCCAGGATGAAATCTTGATTCTAAAAATGTTGTATAATCATGTTTAATTCCGAAGTTTTAACAAAATTTTACATTTTATTTCAGGTCAAACCTAACCCAGGATATCTTGAGAGGGATCAGGGGCTGTAAAGAGAATTCAGGAAATGGTATGTGTTACAACACACACATACACGTACATCTATTATGTAACATGCATCACTTTTAATTTTAAGCTAGTTTAGTACTTAATTTTACCTCCCATCCCCCTTGATTAGTTTGCCTGAGTCTCTCTCTCTCTCACACACACACACACACAGATTATGAGGTGAAAAAAGTCCAACACGTACGGTTCTCTCTTTTCTTTGCCTGAAAACTCAAGCATTTACGAGCCATTATGGGATTTCACAGGCGTACGCTCCTTACCCATCCCCCAGGTCCCAGCGTACACATTTTAATCAGTTCCTCTCTTGCTGGAGGTCAGGCGGTCGTGCTGGCTGCATTGCGGGGCTCACCACATTTAAAGAGGCTTATGAAATGCGATAGAAAGTGATGCTGAAAGGCTGAGCCGCACAGGTTGCTCACCTGCACTTTGAAACCCTAACCTAGGTGACCTGACATCTCGTTCTACATCCATCTCTCCGTCCTGCTGCATTTTTGTCATGCTGTCTCTCTCACATTCTCCAGCCCTTTATCTCCCTCTCTCTACCTCATCTCACACTTGTTTTATCTCTTTTATAGCTCCATCTCATGTCTCTTGTCCTCTCTTTCTTGCTCAGTGGTCCATCGGAGGCGTTCTGTGATGGCAGGTGACGATGTGCTGCTCCAGTGCGAACTGCGCTCCAACCTGGCAACTCCGCGCTGGACGCTAAATGGCAAAGAGCTCCAGGGATACGGCCTCAATTCGGGCTACCGCATCGGCACAGATGGCCTCCTCATAATCGGAGCTCGTGCCCAACAGGGTGGGTCTTATCGCTGCTTTGCTCTCGAGAACTCCGTCTCGGTGCTGGTTTATCTTTACACAGTCAGGGTGCACACAGACTCGTACTTCCCCGTGGAGCCCACAGCCACGACCAACCCCACTACGGTTTCTAGCCCGACTGTTTTCTCCACCAGCAGCCCCACTGAACAGCCTCTGCCCTCACCTCCCGCCCCGCTGCCTCCAGGACCTGAGTTCCAGACCTACAGGCACATGGAGGCTGTGTACATTTCCCTGGTGGCGGTTCTCGGGGGGCTTTGCTTGGTGTTGACTGTGGTGCTGCTTTATGTGAGCTTCTGCACCAGACGGGCTCCTCAGGACCGAAAGTACTCCCAGCAGGGGCTGCATGTCCTGGGCGCCTCTGAGAGGAAGAGGAGCTCCCATCTCGAACTTAAGACCATCTCCAGCCACTGCAACGGCCGCCAGGGTCGTCGGTCCATCTCGGTGCCATCCTTCGGGGACTTGGGTGATGGCTTCCTCCAGATAGTTCCAGGCGAGGGCCAGTTGTCTCCAACCAAAACACCTCCCCCAGCCCCTCCCCTTCCTATGCCTCCTCCGCTGCCCAACATGGACTATGCCAACGGGCTGTCGGCCACCCTGCCCAGCGTGCTGAGGAAGATGAACGGGAACAGCTACGTGCTCCTGAGGCAAGCCGACTCCGAGGGCATGTCGCCGCTCTACCACTCCTTCACAGAGGAGCTCAACAGGATCCTGGAGAAGAGGAAACACACACAGCTGGACCTGCAGCCTGATGAGAGCTCCATCTAGGGCACCCCTCTCAGTCTTTGTCCCGCTGTTATTTATTTTTACCCCAACAATGACCCGCAGTTGTGGGGAGAACTGACCGTTGTATCAAACGCTGCTGTTATTTACCCAGTGTCAGAGTACCTGCAGGTCGTGTCCTAACCTGATCTGAAATGTGCAGCCTCCTGTGTCTCCCATGACAAATGGCCCATGATTTCACTTCAACAATGGACTACACGAACCAGAGACTGCTATTCAAAAAGTAGAGCTGTGAAAAATGTGTTCCATAGGCTGCACTGTTACAAAATTACTAGGGAGCTACCTCTGTGTAGACTGTCTAGAGACTGGTGAAAGATGGCGGACAGATGACACAAAAAGGCAAAGGTGCAAAATGGGACATAGGTAAAAATAATAAATCGGGCCAGGAGGTGTTCACGTATTTTTGAGACTGTGGAAGTGTTCAGGATGTTTTTAGTGCCATGTAATAGTAGCCCTCTACGGAGCTTAAAGTGATACTCCACACAAAATCTCAGTCTTTTGTGCATTGTTACATGGCTAAGCCTTATTTTAAAACATGGCCTACCTTCCATTTAACATGCTCGCAACCTGAGAGCCTGGCCCCGGTCTGGGGTAGAATATGTTTGACTCATCCGTAGTCACAGGACTGGACTCACGAATGTCATGCAAATCCTTGTATGAGGCTGATGGTGATCGTGGCTGTCTCAGCTTTTAGATCTCCTGGTTTTGGGCAGTTCAGGGTCAATTTATGGGCAAAATAACTGGATAGCAAAGCCAATTGATCCTTTAAGATGGTATACCATCTGCAGGTGTCACATCAGTTGCATCCCCAAAATCTCCTCCAACAAATCCACTAATCTACCAAACTGAAGGCCTGCTGGAAGACTTATCATAAGTGTTTTTCTCCACCCGCTTTTCTTTAACAAGCTCAAGTATATTCAAGCATTCAAAAAGCATGTGAATAAGATTATGCTACTAGAATCAGTTAAAGAAGTCTCATGCTTTTTTTTTAACAGTGAACACTATATCCAAATTGGAAATCCATTTCTTCAAATTGGTGGTATCATTGACCAAGAGCCTGAACCACCAAAATATATAATTAAAAAGAAAATCAGCAAATCCTCACATTTGAGAAGCTGAAACCAGCACATTTGTAATTTTTTCTTCATGACTCACGATGAATTGTCTAATTGTCCAGAATTGAATCTGACTATGAGTCTTTGTCCTCTAGGACAAGGCAAACTGGTGTCATTTTACAGCCACCTTTCAAACTCACAGAAGGTGTTTGAGATTTTATGTGGAGTATCACTTTAGAAAGCCAGTTCTGTTACAGTGCATGAGAGTTCAGGTGGTAAGACAAATCATGCATTCCAGTTTATTTAAACAACTCTTTGTTCGTGTTCCTCTGTTCTCGTGTGAATTGCAATAATTACATCACTGTTGCAGCTGTTGGTAGCAATGTGTTGTGCCAGTGCCAATGGAAACACTTGTAGCAAACTGTGAAATAATTTGGATTTCTTTTTCCTGGCATCTTTCTGTTTTTAGCATCTGTGTGATAAAGGAGATACAGCTGTATGACGGTTGTAGTTCTGCTATTAAAGACCACTGAAGGAGCAGTTTGTGGTCAGTTTAATTCAATTCACTGACAACCACAGGCTGGCTTCAGGGTCCGGGAGGCTGAGAGGGAACCACAACGAGATACTGTAAAGAAAATGCTCATTTTAATTTTATATTTAAGCAACTAAACATACTTTATTTTGTTACACATTCAAGATGTTGCTTCCTCCTGAGACGTCAGGGCTTTAGTGTCATACCAATGATTTCAAAGACTATTAGATTAGATTATTTTAAAATGTTACAAACAGGCAACGTGTTTTTCGTCTATTATGAATTACAGACGCAGGTTTTGCGTTTGTTGTGACAAGTCGCTGAATCAGAGTAGAGCAGACCTTCAGACACGCTCCCACAAAGGCATCCTCGGTGTTTACCTGACATCAGAGCAATGCCAAAACAACAAGAGCTGCAGAACCTACAGTATTTCCTTGAACAGGTGAACGGCGATATGATTAAATGGCACACGTATAACTCAGAGGGAAGTGACTGAAATGAATCTCTGAGTGGTTTGTAAATGTGTCACGGCCAGTGGTAAATAAAGATCCGTCATTCTAGCAAAGTGTTGAATCAGCTCTTGTAGCGGTGGCTCAGCAGCAGTCCTCTACGGTGAGTCGCAGCGTGCATTTGTCAAGAGAGTCGCTGACAGTAACAGCAGTGTACTTGGCTCGCCTCCACAAAGAGAGAGGACAAGAGGGGGTGGGGGGTGATTCTTGTCTGTTTGCATAGAGTGTTGTCGTCTCTGCAGGTAGAAGCAGACAGAGAACATTTGACCTGAGTGTCCTGGTTAGCCATGCAGGAAAACAGATGATGATACGAGTAGGCAGGAGCCATTTTGCACTTGCAGTTCTTCTTGTCTGCCTTGTAAAACACTTTATTTTGAACCTTTTTTGATTGAGAATATAGTCAAGGGAAGCACTTTGTGCAGACTGATAAATGTCCTGGTCCTGATGGAATAAATTCTGTCTCACCAAAGGCCTCTCAGTACGATCCAAATAAGCACTTATCTGCTTGCTTGCATGCTTATGAGGCTCTTTTTTCAGATTTTGCAAAACAGATTTTCCGTCGCCTTTTGTATGTACAGCTGAGTGGAACACCAGGAATATCGTTGAGGAGAGACTTTACAAAAAAGTGTGCGCCCTTATCCCCTTTTGTACGATTCAGTGTCTTGTCCATCTCTATGACAGCAGACATTTTGGCCATTCAGAACAGGTATAAACACTTTCAGACGATACCTGACCTACTTCATTATAAGTATACTGAAATCTTAACCCCACTTTAACTCCACTGGTCATCTCCCTGTGACATTATGCCAAGCCTCTTGCTTTTATTAATAAAGGGGAAAGATAGGCTTCAATGTAGCAGTTGTAGTCTCTTTTCTAATCTCAGACTTTCCATTGTTGGCCCAATGCTTAGAATCTGTTCGGCCGTCCATTATTTCAAAATATCAGACAGAATTTATTATAAAGAGACTTTTTTTTTATTTATGAAATTGTTTCATATCATCATTTAATTGATGCCAAAAGTGCTTTAGTTTGAGGGGAGTGGGCTTTAAAATGTAAAACCCTAAGCAAATTTATATATGGAAAATTACTATTATGACTCGGCTAAAATTGCTGTATTCCTCACTATAGGCCAGTGTGCGCTCCAATAGCAGTTACTCTAAATATTTTCCTCTTGGCCGTGGCACAAACTAGGGCTGTCCACTCTTCCCGTTGCTGTTTGTCCTTACAGATGAAGCCAAATATGGGCATTATTCGGGGAAGAGCTGAAACAGAACATTCTGCTATATATGCAGATTAACTGCTTTTATTATATACCCTTTCGCACTTGCGGGAAATATCTGTTTATAAGTTGAATTTAGGGAAGAGAGAACTCCTTTTGGTTAATGTTACCGCCCAGACTTTCCCATGACTTACAGTTTAAGATCTCCTGAGGATACATATTCAGGGGAAGTGTTCAGTGCTTCCTGGCTGTTGGACGTGACATGTGTCCCCTGGCTAGCCGTGCAGAGAGCAGATGACGATACAACTGGACGTGTTGGCAGAAGCTACTTTGCACATTGCATGTTTTCCAGTTTTTTTCCTGTCAGCCTTTTTAGCCCTTTCACTAGTTTTCATCCTCATCTTCATTCCTCCCCCCTCTCTATCTCTCTCCCTCTCTGCTGCCTCTTTTGTTTTCCCGTCTCATCACCTCTGCGTGACAGTATCATCTATTACTCTCTCTGCTCACATTCACACTCTCTCAAGGACCCTGCTGAGTTTACAAATGGCCATGATGGCCCCTAATCAGTTAGGACCAGAGTCCCAGAGTTTGTGTTTGTCAAAGCAGCGGAAAACAACAGATCTCTCCGCATTAGTTTAACATTACTGATAGAGTGAATGCTATTCTGACATTTCTAGCAGATTTCTGTGAGGTAGTTTTCTTTGCACGCATTTCCAATAAGAATGAGACAGCTGAAATATGAATCATGTCCTTAAAATTAAGGATTCACCCATGGTTTGGATTGTTAATCTGAATGAGTAATGGTTTTCTGATCCATTTATAAGTGTGATTAATGTGAGCTTTTTAATTTTATTTCAGTCAAAGTTGTAAAGAGATGTTCTTGTTGGGTTACATTGTAATGCAAGTTTTAAAATGTGTACTGAGTTTAACATGTTACCGTACTTATTCATGTATTATAAAAGCCTCCATCATCAAGTTTCCTCACCATCAAGTTGTGGACAATCCTTAACATGTTGAAAGCTTCATCTGAATCTGTGACCTCTGCTGCTGCTTCATTCTCACTTAAGGACAACCTGTTTACAACAGACACTGACTCTGCACTGTATATTGTACTATGGACTTTAGGTAAAAAATAGCTCACATATTGGCTACCATTTTTACATTCACCTTCTACACACAACCCCACAGTGAGGCACCTTTTGTCTTGTGTCAATATGCAAGATATGGTATACTTTGTAGATGTAGAATATTCGTCTAGGTGTTGGCCAAAGAAACCGGAGTGAAGAGTTCACAATTTGCATTTGCACTGTTCTTTTGTAAGTACTTTGTTAAAGGTCATGTAGTACACTCTTGTAAACTGTGACACTCTCCATCAAGTTGGTTCTGTACTATATTTTGATGTAGATAATGAATTTATCTCTGTTGTTTTCTCAGAATATAACTGGCTGAAGTGACACCCTTCTTGTAAGACAGTTAAACCACCGGAGCTGAAATAACTTCTTTTTTTTTTTAATATTGTCTCTAATGTCTTATTTATTTGACTTCATTAAATTTCCACTTGCTTTTGTGCAGATGAAACACTTTGCATTATGTTCAGCTTGGGGAAAAAAAATATCAGTGTCAACAGCCCTGAGGGGAAGTCAGGAAATTACATGCAAAACATGTTCACACTGAATCCTATTCTCAAAAGTCAGTGGTACTCTGTTTTTAGCTTGTGGCGAGCAGCAAAACCAGTCCTCCACTGGGAATGGTGCCCGCATGATCCCAAAGTCATTTACATACATGACTCTGACAGAGGAGAGGTATAACATAAGCTTAGGAAGGGGGGGGGAGAGAGAAAATGACCATTTTCAGAGCAGCGTTCAAGGCAGTAACTTAGCAACAGCATCTTTATTTAGAGCCTTTAATGTCCTGGCGTGGGTCTAGCTGTGCCAGTTCCCATTGGGGAGAGAGGGTGTGATGAGAGCACAGTGGCTCTGATATCTGTAATCGGTGCCATAGATAAATTAAAATGCAGGAAGTGAGCATGAAACAACAGAAAACATTGTCACATCATCAGCCAATTCCACGTCTTATGTTAAAGCAGGAGAAACCGCTAAAGCAACCCCACTGTCTCTCCTGAATGCGGTTTAATTGAAACTAAATTTGGTGATGAAAGTTTACAGATCATTTCAGTTTAGCCACTTTTATTGGCTAAGCAGCAACTGTATGTCTAACGGTACTTTAGAAGGAGAGGGCATCTATATTCTTATCAAAAATGCAACTCCAGTCGAGATATCTGTGAGCAAATGAGGGAAATCTGCATGAGTGTCCTGGTGCAGAGTTCGGCCCCAATGTCTCTCCCTCGTCATCATCCTCTGCAATCATCTCACGCTCATATTCTACATAAATTCTCACATTTATCCTAACAGTTTCCTGTGGCCAGAGTTATATATATATATATGCCAGATGACTAGCATCCATAAATCAGAAACAAGCAGTCTGTCCTCGGGGCACCTTTCACGTTCACTATACGCAAGACTGCTTGATTTGTATTCATCTGACGACTAGTACTTGGTTGTATGGATGTATTTTTGTGGAGAAGAACACTGAGGTCATTTGTGGAGGGAAAGCAGGGTCAGTCGGCATGCCTTTAACAGTCAAAAATGATAAATGTGGGGGGAGAACTGCAAAGAAAGCAAATGGAGTTGTTTTGCCAACATCCGCCTTGTTGAATTCGAACAAATCTCCCACTAGAGGAGTGTTAGTCGTCTGTTCCCCTTACAGCCGATACAGAGGACAGCTCTGTGCTGAAGGTTAAGACTCGTCCCTCAAGCTACCACACAACCATCTGTCATGTTCATTTAACGTCATTTAAGGTTGTGCAGTGAGGAAACATTTAAACCTCAGTATGAAACTGTAAAAAAAAAAAAAAATCTTCCCCATGTCAGAAAAAATAAAAAAAGCTGTACATCTCATATGTGTCTTGTCTGGTAGTAGTATTTTAGTATTTTAACTGCAGTTAAATCAAACTTAACGTAGCAGACAGCCCCACTGCAAATCAGTTTTTGCTCTGTTGGTCCTTTGACAAGCTGTTCTAATACAAATCTAAATTTAAACACCAATGCATCTGCACAAAAAAAAAAAAACATTTATTGTTCCATACAAAGTTCCATCTTCTCCAAAGTGCTGCACTTCTTACACAAATCTACAAATAACCTTGAGATTAAAAACGGTTATCTGCTTTTTAATATGTCCGCTGACATTAAGCCTCTAGTGGATTCATGTAAAGTCTATTTAAATGTGGCATTCAGAGCTGGTGCTGCATGCTCTTTTCTGCGCAGCTGAAGTGGCTTTGCTGCCACCAACAGACAGAAGGGCACGATAAAACATATTCAGCTGATGGATGTGGATAGTACAGTTGAAAATTGCTGCAAACATGAGAACCTGTGATTTGAGATTGCAGACACTTGAAAAAAAAAAAAAAAGGACATATCTTGCAAGAGTAATCAGAGATTCAGCATTCATTTTCTGTCTTTATTCAGTCCCGTTTCTGTGGTCTGATGGGGCCGATAGACGGGGGCCGGTTGGTGAATGGGTGCCACTGGCCCTGGATGCTGGGGTTGTCTGTGTGGATGGGTTTGCGGATGCGGATTATGTCCAGGCCAGACTGATCGGTCAGCTTGGCCAAGAGCTCCGAAATCTGCGGAGAGGTTTTGTTTGTGATAATTTCTTCCCTCACGTTGCCGTTTACTGCAGGAAGGGAAAAAGAGGAAACAACTGAGTGACTTATGATCATACTTCTCTTACTGACGAACCTGCCTGTTGAGAAATGTAACAGTGTTCACAAGAACACATGATTCTCGATTAGACTAACTAAGTCATTTGAAACCCCAGTGGCATTTCACTTCTACCTGAACAAAGGTCTAACAGTGTTATACTGCCCCCTACAGTATCTGGGAGTAGTAACTAATATAATCACATTACTACTTTACTGTAGTTCACTTTTCATGTCTGTTATACATTTATTGCTTAAACTTGTCGCACACTCCACCAAAAAGACTGATTATAACCTTATTATAACCTTTCAACTGTAAAGCATGCCTATGGTTTCAAACAAGTACCATTTTGACATGTTAGCATGGCCAAAGTCTTTTTTTAACAGCTTCTGTTGCTTCAAAAGTCTGCTCAACCTTTTTTTATAATATTAATAATAATGAAAAATAAGACTATTTTGTTTTATTGTTTGTTTTGATGTATGTACCACGACTCCCTGGAAGGCAGTATTGATACTGCATGGATTATCCCCTTTATAAAATAAAGTATTGTAACTAAACAGTTCACTAAACAGGCCATAAATAAAACGTAATACTATAATTCATGTGTAATAATTACCACATAAGTTGGTAAGAATTAAAAGGAAGAATGGGACTGTATTCTACAGGAAAGCATACTCAACATATATGGAGAACACAATAATAAATGGATATTTATTTGGATTTAAAGGGATATCTATGTTTTTCCAATTAGATTTAAGCAGTTATGTTAAAAAAAAAAAAATTGCTTATAAACTCAACACAGCCAGCTCATTTAACCTTCTCAGAACTTCTTTATTTTCCTGTAATTACTACAAAACTTCCATGAAACTTTCAAGGAAATATTTAGGGAATTACACAACCTGTAAATTAAAGCATTACTCATGTGCTTTAATGAGGAAAGAAATTCTGGATTAGTCAGATGTCCCTTTAAAAAACACAAAGTCATAAGTACTCACAGTATTCTGCAACTATTTTGGGAATCCTGCATGACTGAGGAGAAACATACACGACAGTTGCAGGGTTCTTCTTGGCATAATCCACCACCCCCTCTTCAATAAACTCCCTGAAAAACAAGGGGAAGAAATGCTGTGGTCACTCTGCTCTTTCAGTGGTAGGTAGTTCAGGTTTTGTTGAAACTGTGTGAATCTGTCTGTGTCGCTTGTATACGTAGGATCAATTTCCAGCGTCCAACATCAAGAATACCTGATTATTTACACTACTGGTTTATGGTGACTGATATACTGACTACATTTCACTAAACTACATTTACATTACAGCAGTAGTTATTGCCAGATAAAGACAGACGAAACATATGATCAACATATGAAATTACAGATTATACTCCACAAAATTGAAATCTTTCTTATCTTAAATAGATAAACAATAAATCCTGATATTTAAGATAGAACCAGAAACGTTGTACTTAAAAATGGCGTTATGGCTTTGGATGAATAGTGATAAATGCTGTAAGGTTGTATGAAATAAATTTAAATTATTTAAAGTAAAAGCAGTACATTTGGCAATTTGACATAAAAAAAATGACTCAATTATTAAAATAGTTTCTATTAGAATTGAGTTTAAGCTCCTTTTACTCCCATACAAAGCTCTTAATGTTACAGCACTTACAAACTTAAAAGTCAACAAAAGACCTCCTTATTCACACAGGCTTTGAGTTAAAGTACTAAGTTAAAAAAAAAATCGATTTATTATCTTGTATTATCTTTTACTCCATTTCATATGTGCATGTATATATTTTACCCTAATTGTTATTTATTGTTTTGTTTTTAACGCCACACTGTAATGCATATTGAGCTGCATTTCACGTGTGAAAGGTTCTATATAAATAAAGTTATTATTATTATTAATATTAGTAGTAGTAATTACTGCTCTGCACAACTTATAGTCATGCGCACATGTGTTGTGTGCAGACATCTTAATCTATATAACAACTTGTAATTAAAAAAAAAAGATTTATGCATTCATAGTTTGTTTGTTTGTTTGTTTGTTTGTTTGTTTTCTTATTACCTGACTCCCAACGAGCTCTGTGCTTTCTTGGAGAAGATGAGGGAGATCCGTTGGAGCTGGCAGACGTACCGACCGACGCCGTTCTGGAGAACACTCTGGAGGAAGCGGCTCGGCGTCCCTCTGGAGGTCATCGTCCAACCGCCAGCCGCCAACCGCCGACCAACGGTTACAGTTCAGACACTGTTGAAGACCGTTGCACGTAAATCAAACCGCTACAGCCGTTAGCCGTTAGACTACAGCCGTTAGCCGTTAGAAGAGCCAAAACGTTCACAGAGGACGACTTGACGGGCGTGAGTATAGCGCTGTCCGTCGATGTAATGTTCCGGAGTGAAACATATAACGGACAAGACGGTTAAAACCAAAAATACGACTTCTTCCGTCAGCAGATTAAAAGCGTTGAACGTGTTTTTAAATGTATTAAACATTAATATCGAAAGCTTTGAAATGTTTAAAAAAAATGTAAAAATCTAAATGTAGCACACACACACACCTTGGTGGTTCGGTAACGTTTCCTTGCGCCCTGTGTTTCACACGGACTTATTTTGAAAACGCACCCGAAAGCCCGGGTTACAGAAGCATGGTGGAGAATGAGGGCAAGTAACGGAGCCAGTAAACTGGATTTTTGTTTGTTGTTGTTCCATGAAACGTAATGTATTTCAAGTTAAGGCTTTCACACACATTCAGGCTAATTCCTTGCATCGTCGACGTCTGTTTAATAGAAAAAAAACCCTCTTTTTGACCCTCATCGCTGATTTAAAATTAGCATAGGTCACCCGAGACACAACGTTATCCTTGCTGTTACTTATACGAGGCTGATGTTTCTTTCTATGTCCGCGCCTGTAGCTGACTGAAGATCCTAACCCAGATAACTCATGTGGAGGAGCTGGCTGCTGAAGGGCACCGCCTGCCTCCTGCGGGTGCCAGCCCCGACCATTCTCCACCAAACACACTTTTCATCCCTCTGTGTGAGACATCTCACTCAGGGGCCCCTTCACAGGCCCCCCGAGGCTCCGTGTGGTTTACAGCTTCTGGGTAAAGGCTGCTTCGTGGCACACAGTGGGACCAGGGCTTATAAAAAGGACGCCAAGTCCCTTGTGGAGTTTCCTGTGAGCCCTGTCACAATCACAGATATCAAACAGTATCTGCGCTCCAGAGATGTTCCCTTCCACGATGGCTACAGCTGCCTCCACATCCCGAGCATCTTTGTCGATTCGTCTGCCAGGAAGGACAGCTTCAAGTTGTTCGTGGACAAAACTACCGGACAGTTTCTGTGCAAAGAGACCCTGGTGGAAGGGAGCTGGGAGGATCTCCAGGACTGCCTTGAGGTGATGCAGAAGGAGGAGCAGGACTTCCTCAGCCCTCATGTGCTGCTGGGATATCCAGAGAGTGTGGAGGAGCAGGAGGAGAGGGAGAGAGAGCTGAGGGAGGTGCAGATGATCTGGTCCAGCTCTGTGGTCTTCAGTGACCTCCCTGAGGACGAGGCTCAGATGATCAAAACCATGTTTCAGGTAATTGTTGAGGTGTGCTGGTTTATCTAAAGGAGTGTGTGTGTGTCCTGACATATTATTGGATTTATCTTTTTTAAGTCAGAATAATCAAGGAACCACACTGTTGCCGGACACCATCATCTGAAAAGGTGTGAACACAATAAAATGCTGTAGTCACGGCATAATAACTATAAACTTAACACTGGTTAAAGCAAGGAGCTGACAAGACAGGATATTAAGAAAAAAATAACAAAATAAACAGAAAATACAATAAAACATACTGACATGTGGTTTAATATTTATATTGTAATTTTAGATTTATTTTCAGTTGCTAGGTGATTTTCAGAAACAAGTTCAAACAGCGGGAATTTAAAATTAAACTAAATGAATTTAAAAATGACGGGTAAATCGTGAAATTGTGTACAATACCTTCTCACATAAAATAAATGAGAGAAAACATTGTGACATCTGAAGACTATTTTCCTCTCAGGATGATACATTTGTTTATCATTTTCTTTCAGATCACAAAGATCTCTGATGCAACCCTCAAGAAGTTTGGCGTGAGGGTCTTCAAGCCTACCAAGAGTCTGGTGTTCCCCTGGTTTGGTGGACCCGACTCCACTCTAAAGGGGATGAAGATTCTTTCCGCCCAAAGCACAGACACAGAAAAAGTTACTTATAATGAAGCGACACTACCAAAGTATAACTCTTACTACAACCTCTTTGGCCTCCCCCTGGTGGGCAGTATAGACTCTGAGGTGGTGCTGACGGGACACGAGCTGGACACACTGGCTGTGAGCCAGGCCACGGGACTCCCCAGTGTTGCTCTTCCACGTGGGGTCAGCTGCCTTCCGCCGATCCTGCTGCCTTACCTGGAACAGTTCAAGCGTGTGACTCTGTGGCTGGGAGGCGACATTCGCTCGTGGGAGGCGTCAAAGATCTTTTCACGGAAGCTTGGTCTGAGGCGCTGCTCGCTGGTGCGGCCCGGGGAGGCAAGGCCGTGTCCCGTGGAGGCTCTGGCCCAGGGGAAGAACTTCGTCCCAATTATCAAATCCTCCATCCCTGCCGCCCATAAGTCTATAGTGTCCTTCAAGCAGCTCAGAGAGGACGTGTACGGGGAGCTGGTGAACACAGACCAGGTGGCTGGAGTGAAGTGGAAAAGGTTTCAGGAGCTCACCAGGATCCTGAAGGGACACCGCAAGGGGGAGCTGACTGTTTTCACAGGTATAAACATGATGTTTAAAAGTCTAATCGGTCATTTCTCAATGTGTTTCTCAAGTAATCATTATTAAAAGTGTAGTCCTGGTTTGTACCTCTTTAATACTGTTGTAAACACCTTTTATAGGATCATAAAATATTAAAGATGCACTAATCAATATTTTATATAAACAGTGGATCAAATGACTAATGTGAAAGGTAGTGACGAATCCACAGAGCGTCATTGTTTTAGTTTTCTGCCCAACAAACTCCACAGAAGGTAGTCGTTTTCAGCAACTTTATCTGTACACTACCTGCCCATTACATTCACTAGAGAGAAAGTTGGCAACTAGCTGGTGAAAAAATATAATAATTAAGTAACAAAAAGTCAGTTTGGTGTTTTCAGCTTGTTTAAATGCCTCCAAATAGCCCAAAAGAATCATTAATGCAACTTTAAAAATGATTATCAATCTCAAAGTTTATAAGGGTTCCTAACAACAGGTTCCATGATGTATTTGAAATGGTGTAAACTTTATATATATGGATCAAAGTACAACATTCACACTCACAGCAGGCCAGGGTTGACTTTCATTCAAACTGTCCCGAAAAAGAATACATTGGGTCACGTTTGAATAGGAGGTGTAAACACTGGTACGTGTATTGTCTCTTCTCCTCTCTGCAAGTTAACAACCAAATATCTGTAGTGTACCTTAATATGTATTGTTTCTTTGTTCACCAGGTCCTACGGGCAGTGGGAAGACCACCTTAATCAGCGAGGTTGCCCTGGACCTTTGCATGCAGGGGGTCAACACGTTATGGGGCAGCTTTGAGATCAACAACGTGCGTCTGGCGAAGATCATGCTGACACAGTTTGCCATGCAGAGGCTGGAGGAAAACCTGGAGCAGTACGACTTCTGGGCGGACAAGTTCGAAGAGCTGCCACTCTACTTTATGACTTTCCACGGGCAGCAGAACCTCAAGTAAGTCTGGTCAGGGTTTCAGGAATCCAGCTAGTTGTACTTGTTTTGCATGCATGCGTGCAGGTACAACTTAATCCCAGTCGACATAATGTAATTGCTCTTTTCAGTGAGCGTCTGGCAAGAACAGAACATTGAGTAATTCACTGGATAGCTTAAACAGTAGCTGTAAGACTCTGCCGGCAGTTGCTACAAATTCTTCTCGATATTGTACTGAATTTAAGCTAAAGAGAAGCGTAATGATTAGTCAATTAATCGATTAGAAAATTGGCAGCGAATATGATAATCTACTAATTGATTAAACTATTTAAAAAAAGAAAAACATTCTCTGGTTCCAGTTTCTCCAATTTGAGAAAATCCTGCTTCTCTCTGTTTTATATCTTTTTAACTGGAAAATCTTTGAGTTTTGGATTGTTAGTTAGACAAATCAAAATATTTGAATACGTCACCTTGGACTCTAGATGTGATGAGCATTTTTTGACATTTTATTGACCAAACAATTATCAAGAAAATAATAATAATGGTATTTAATTGATAATGAAGATAATTGTTAGTTCCAGCTCTTAAACTAGTGCTTGTCTGTAATACTTGCTTTACTCCAACTATGACAAGTGGAAAGTATATATTTGTTAAGTGTGAGCGTTGTTTACTCAACTGCAGTGTGAGATACATATTTAACATCTTCAGATTCACATGAAAACCCTTCTCCAACCTTTTCTACAGGACAGTGCTGGACACTATGCAACATGCTGTCTACCTGTATGATATCAACCATGTCATCATAGACAACCTGCAGTTCATGATGGGACAGGAACACCTCACAGTAGACAAGTAAGAGTTCAGTTATGACAAATAGGAAGATTTCTGCCCTGTATCTCTGTCGGTATGAATGAAGTTGATTTCAAATGCAACTTTATTTAACTTTAAACTTTTACACAATCTGAATGAATTAGTCTGAATGTTGTTTTGGTCCAGTAAAGTATCCGTTTCATCAGGCACAGTACTTCTAAAATGCATTGTCCGTGACAAATATGGAAATAAATGATGTTTCGTGTGGTCCAGGTTTGCAGTCCAGGACCACATTATCGGAGCATTCAGGAAGTTTGCCACCAACAGCAGCTGCCACGTCACCCTGATCATTCACCCCAGGAAAGAGGAGGATGACCGGGAACTACAAACAGCATCCATCTTTGGCTCGGCAAAGGTAAGACAGAGGAGTGTTTCTGTTTTCAAGGTTACTTTTATTTGTATCCATGGGTAAATTTGGTTTGCAGTAAAAGATAAGGCATTACTCTTGATAGAAATATAAAAACAAACAAACAACTCAGACAGAAGACAAACATAATACAAACATGATAAAAGTAAAAGTGCCTCAGGCTCTAAAAATCTAAAATTCACAGCCACATATTTAGCGTACTATTATTACTAAATAAAGTTTTATCTGCTATTTTGTCTTTGACTTGACATTATCATGAAACTACATGTGTCCTGACATAACTAAGACACACCTTGATCTTCTAACCCCCTCCAGGCCAGCCAAGAAGCCGACAACGTACTCATTTTGCAGGAGAAGAAGCTGGCGACGTGTCCCGGCCGCAGGTCCCTGCAGGTGACCAAGAACCGTTTCGACGGAGACGTGGGTATCTTCCCTCTGGATTTCGTCAAGTC